AATTTCCGATCTGCCACGTAGAAGCGTTTTTTTTCATACGCAACTGACAATAAAAGTCAAATGAGATTAAAAGCAATTAATTTTTAAATTTTACATCAAAAGTGTGCAAATGCAAAATCCTTTTAAATTTTACAGTCACTACAGCAGAGAGAAGCACATTATTTTTCCTGTTTGTCTATCTTTTCATCTACCAGCAGCTGTGGCTGTCATTGATCAAGAACGCTCACACAGATATTCTGGTCATAAAATCGTTGTCTATCCATTATGGACATTTCTTTATCACACAGTAAGAAACTTAAAGTAGACATGATGCAGTTTGGGAATTACAACTTTATAAAGGTATAAAAAGTACATGTTAGAGAAAGGTGGCTTTTCGGAAGCTCCTTTTTCTAATACAGCTTTGCCGATACGGTTATCACTGTATCCTAAAAATAATTAATAAAGTAGCATTGTTCAGAGTGGTGATTATCCAGAGTGGTGATCTCAAATAGAATTCTCTGAAAAAAATAGTACTTTAGTGGTAAAAACTCGTATTTTTAGAACTGAAGCACCGTATCTGCTTCTGGAGATAACACATGTTTGGAAGCGCTTAGAGGGATTGTTTACTGAACAGTGCTAAAAAAAGAAAATCAAAATGGAAACAAGTTTAAAAGTTTCATTTTCTTTGAGCTTTTTCATTAACTGGACTGGAAATAACTTGTTCGGTTAGTTTTCAGTCATAAGTTTTTTTTTTTTGACAGAGGAAATTGGTTTCATCCCTGCTTAAAATCTAGTGGTGTTTTACGGCAATAACCTGATAATTTAAATCAAGCTTGTTTTATTACATCTTCTGAACGGTTCATGACATTTGGGTTTTTTTCCAGTCGAAGTAACTGTGTCAAAATCTTATTGTTTACATTATATTAAATTTGCACCATTCATGAGCACCATTCACTGTATCATGGATACAGCTTACAGGCTCAGTTGTACAATTTTGTATGTTATTTTAAACAGTTATGAAAAAGAAGTTTTTGTTTACAGTAGAGTTAAACAGTAATGTGTAACGAAGAAAAATTTAAGGCACCTCAAATTTTTTTAATGGTCTTCAGAAAATCCTAACGTTGCTAACTTGGACGATTTCATCCAAAAATGGGATTCAGAGATCGCTTCTTCTGATAGCAATAAATTCCTTATTCATTACTAATTTTGATGTTACACTTTTTTTCCAATGAAGTCACGCTTTCTTATCCATTTAACCTCAGACTTATTAATCGTTGTTCCACTGTACCCTTAGAGACCATAAAATCTGACTGTTCAGCTACTTACAGTCGCCCAAAAATGTTTAAATTCGGTTTTCCTGAGAAAGAGAGGGGGTTATTTAGGAAGTTCTTAAATTTCCCTTAAGCCTTTATGCTAATTGCACATGTCAAGTGATGAGCAAGTAAATTCGAGAAAATAAGTAGAACTTTATAAGCATTAATAATTTTATTCCATACTTCTCCTCATTCCTCATCTAAATCTTAACCGTTTGCTGATTGTGCCAAGGTCTTTACTCGCAGAAATAATTTTTTGAGAACGATGTAGAACTTCTTGCTACAATGTACAAGTAACGCCATAAATATGAGGTAAAATTCATAGGTCCCTCAGAAAATTCCATATTACACTTATCTGCATGTGGGCGCCTAATGTTCACGCTTTCCAGACAACTTTAGGCATATTTTGCGCCATTACCTCAAAAACAATGAGCAAATGTATTCACTGTATCTGAAAATTTTCTTTTATCTATTATTTTTCTCTATTTGTAACAAGTTTGCTGTACGATTTGATCCTCTAATCCGGTATTACGCCGCTCGTTAAATCCTTCCATGTTTCTCAATTAGGAGTCAAGAATTTTTGAGGTCTTCATAGATCTTGGCATACTGTAGTCTCGAGTTAATTGTCCAAGTCTTCACGCCTTCATTTTTCAATTTCTTCCCATTACACACGTCTTCCTCTGAGATTTACGTTACTGCACTGTCCACTACATACTGTCTAACTTGGAGCTTGTATTCTTATGTTTATTGATAACTAAGACTAATATTCGTCCTTATATTCACAGTAGGCTGGTAGATCTTGTCTTTTCTTCCTGTTATAGTTCCTGTTATGTTTTTGAAAACATTAAGAAAGTTCTAATACTTTCTCTGGTTCCTGCCTTTGTGCCATATGGCGTATTTACTTCTTGCAGTAGATATACTTATAATTGTTCAATTTTCGTTTTTTTTACTTCATCCTGTACTGTAATTGTTTCTAATCGCAACATTTTCTGTACATTTTTCATACTTTTTACTGTCTTTCTCAGTTGTTATACGAATATGTTTTTCTATAACCATTTTTATTTCTCCTTCCAACTCTTATTCTTTAATTACATATTTTATTTAGTCGTGAAATAGTTCAAAAATGCCTGACCGCTTTACTTCATTACCTTTAGTGTCGGAACTGTAAGTATATAATTTTTTTAAAATATGCGCTTTTTTGCGATCATCTCAGAAAGTTTCAGGGCTCTGAATACCATAAATTTTTTGGCACTCTTAAAACACAGATTTTATGATTCCAAATCGAAGTGGAAGTATATGTTTCTTGCGCGGTTTCAGTCGCCAGTTACAAAAAAGTGGCCTGCAACAGTCGGTCCCTTTCCAACATGTATGTTCTTCAAATTAATCACCGCTCACTGTGTGCACTGTTCCCGTAAAAAGTACCTATGATAAGGAGTTGTAGTGCAGAATAGGGTACCTAGTTAATCCACACCGAACCGCCTCGATTGCACGAAGTAGGACTGTTCTAACGATACATCTGCCAGGGTAAAACAGTGAAACACGCGCACACAACTCATCCACTGGCACCTTACGTGTATGGGCTGCAGTGAAACTGTAAACTTTCCGTCAGTTGGCAGCTCGCCAACTGTCCTCAAGACACGGCGAGTGACAACTGGCGATGGCAAGTGATGCACAGAATTGGTCAAGAGAAGTCATCACTTTGAAATCGGTCAGGGTTGTTTCGGTTGCCAGATGTAAAGATCGGCTCTATGTAGGGCCATTGTTTCAATAGATTTGATTTACTTCCGTTTAGAAACAAGTGTCGGTAAATTTTATAAGTCGTCTGTCACAGTTACAACCTACATTGGAGAAATGTAAACTTCGGTTTTATAATTTACGTCTGACTTTTAGTTTGATTTTGCAGAGGAGGTTTGCTGTCTTATAAGACGGAAATGTATAGATAGTTTGCCAAGTTAGTAAATAGAGAAAAACCTTACACAGTCTAACTATGCCGTTCTTATTTTTCATTTTGCTGTGTTTCAGTAGAAAAAGATGTGTTGGTGTTGGAGTGAACAATAAGTGAACAAGATGTTTATCTTGGAGCTAAAATTATTTTCAGGAATTGTTGTCAAAATGCAGACAGTTTCCGAATTGCCGTTGAAGTTAGAAAATTTTGCTGTTTTTATCAGTTTGATTTAGTCATCTAACAGGAACGCCTCCATTTTTCTTGGCTATTATTTCCACTATTTTCAAACATTTTTGTCATAGCACCCAATTTGTTTAGGAACATGATTATTGATTTACATCTTAGGCTGTTACGGCTGATAATATGTGGTAAATTCCTTTGCATGAATCATTCAAGATTTACTTTTCCAGAAAATTTCCGTATGGTATTTGGCTGGAAGGAGCGCCTTTCGTTTACTCGTTTGATCGCTGACCATCTAGAATTTGCTTAGACTATATGTATCTAAAGAGGAAGCGTTGGGTTTTCATGTTACCGCTCTTTTCGTTTTACTGGAGACTTGTTCCGCATAGTTGCAGCTGTACTCCTTATATTCTGTTGTCTGAAAAGTATGAGGAGCGATTCTCTCCTGTTTCGACTGACGTAAGTTGCAGTTATTGATATTTGCCTTCTGCTTTGAGTTCTTTGACATAGGATGATCCATGATCCTAAAAATGGCATTTTTGTAGGTAGCAGGTGTGGCGGTAGTTTTGTACACTTTTTTTAGTTTTCACTGAATATCAGTCATATTTACTTATCTAGAATTTGGAAAGTTGTTTTTCATTCAACTGTTCGTTTACTCTTTATTTATCTATCAATTCGGTATGTGACTTTGCTTTCGACACTAAAGTAAAACTTTCTGCCCTTGTTTTTGCTAGTGTGTTCTCTCTTACTTGGTTTCTGAAACCATTAGAAATATTAATTTGTCGTAGTAGATCTTCGATGTTTTCGCGCTTTTTCTTGGCAAAAAATTAATAAGGAAATCTCCTGGTTGTTGCTTGACATTTTTTATAGAGTTCAGGTTCATTACTGAAATGTTTACTTGCAAACTAAGTTTTGTTTAAGGAGCTGAGAATTTTTGAGGGTCTCTTCTCTGCTTTTGATGTACTAGTTTGCTTGGGAATAACTGAGTTCGATGCTTATCCATCTAAAGCAGGATTTAGAAGAAAAAGGCTTAGAAGAAGTTTATTGTCGCGAAGGATGTCGCAGAATTAAATGTGTAGTTAAGATAGGTTGTGATCATAAGCGCTTTAAATAGATAATTTTTTGAT